CATGGAATACGGGCAAGACGACCTTGAGGATGCGATCGACCGCGCTATAGATGCCGACCCAGACAATCAGTGGCAGTCGCCCACGGGACCTGATCACGAGGACCCCCGACGGGACAATCAGGACCCTCCCAGGGGACGAACCACCACCCGAGACTATCAACCCCCGACATGGGAAGCAGTCAATCGCATTGCGAGCGTCGACCGTGGACTCCTCACACTTGTACAATTGTCTAACACGACACCTGCCGAAGGAGACATGGGTGATTACATCCAGCCTTGCAGGTTCGCATACCCCAACGATTCGGCTATGGGACGTTGGACGGAGTACTCCATGAACTCGACGCCAGTCTTCCAGCGCCAGGTATACTTGTCACCACCGCTCTGGATAACGTCCAGATCGTCCTGAATGCCAGACAGGATCTCAGGGCCAAGCAGCATAGCGGTACGAATGATCTTGACATCCTCGTCAACATAGAGGAAGGGGTCGCACTTCCACTGACAGGATGCGGAAACGCCATGCCTTGAAGATCTCGCATCTGCGGGCGGCACTGACGTTCTCCTTGCCAGTGAAGATAGGTGGGTTCTCCACCGTCTGTCTGAGGGAAGACATCTTGCCCGGGGTCTCAGCGAGGTTGTCGTACGGGGCTCGAATGTTGGCGCTGCGAGACTTGAGGGCGTTGTAGTCCGCGACCAGCTCGTCGTGCTTCCTCTGGAGGCTGTTGTACGAGGTTTCAAGGTTGACGTAGTCGAGGTTCTTCTGATCGAAGTTGTCCTGGGCCGCATTGGCAACGGCGCGGGCGGTCTGCAGCTCCTGCTCGCTGCGCTCGAGGTCGCTGGCGACGTCGTCGTAGAGCGCAAGGTCAGTGTGGTGAAGACGACCGAGCGGGGCGATGATCGAGCGGAAAGCGGGATGGTCGGCGATGATGGCGGCGTCTGCGAGGTGCTCCCGTGGGACGACTTGTTTGTCTTCGTCGTCGTCGATGCCGGCGATGAGGTCTTTGGCGGCGGCGGACTGAGGGAGCTCGAGAAGCGCGGCGCGACAGACGGTCGTATCAAAAGTGCTAACAACGTTGTCAAGGACCTCACGGACGTCGTCCAAGTTGAAAGACGTGCTGGGGAGGGGGATACCAAGATCAAGAAGATCACCGCTAACACTGCCAGCGGCGGGTGAGAACGTAGCGGAATCGCTGTCGTCGCTAGACATAAAGAGACAAGGGATGGTCGCTTGAGGCGAGGCTCTTATCCACTGGATGAAGAGTGCCTACCCTTATTCACTGAATGAAGGGAGGAGTGACCGATTGACCGTCGCAACTGCGACTGTTGTGGAGTGCTGGATTCAAGGTGATTCCTGCACGCGCGCGCAATTGATAAATCAACCGCACGATGAAAGAAA